GGGGCAGGGAGTGGGGGCAGAGAGACCCTGAGAGACACAAACAGAGGGAGGGACCAGGAAAAAGGGAGAAACACTATTTCCGATTTCTCAGTAGTGTTCAGTGAAGGGGAAATTTGGTTTCCCTCAAATTTAGAATAGGAGAAGTCTGGATCAATACTGAGGTTACGTCTTACAACAGAAAACCGGGGACGATTTTTCATTGACCGAAGAGGTTTCCTCGTCACTTGGGTATTTTAAAACTGAATTTTCTCTCCATGCCAGGGCGGGTGGTTGGAGGGCGCCACTGGTAGGTCCTACTTCTTTGCTTTCTGTGTTGTTTCTGTCAGTCTGTCTTACTTTTTCCCAGCACTAAATGAACGACGATGTGCTTCTCATCACTCAAACAAACAAACAAACAAACAAACAAACAAACAAACAAACAAACAAACAAACAAACAAAAAACGGACAAACAAACTTTTCATTCTAAGGTTTAAATCGTCCTGTCTTTTCCGTCTTAATTTTTTTAAAAGACAAGCCGTAGTATTTAATGACTCCGTTTTCAGTACCCGGCCCCTCGAGTCGTACATTTTCTGAGAGGTGTTCTGTGACTGTTGTGGGGCTGCACTGTTAGTTTAGTTTATTTTCATACTGGGCTTTGGAGTGGTTGAAGTTTGTTCGACCCCCCAGCAGGGGGAGTAGGGGGTCCTTTCTGAAGTGAGGCTGGGTTTCCAGGAGAGTTTTCAAAGGTTCTCCATCCGTTTGAAATGGGATTATCCGTGGGAGTTTCTGTTCTTCCCCTCTGCTGTTTCTGTCTATCTTTCTTGCTTCTTCCCTGTCCTATACGACCGTTATTGTGTCGATGTGTTTCGGTCTTTCTGTCGGGTTGTATCCCTCTTAGTCCGGGTTTGCCATGACAGGAAAGGTCAGAAGCCTTCCACCTAAATGATCTAATTTAATTGTCTATGGGGCCGTAAAAACAGTTACATTTTTGTGTCGAGTGAACTGACTGTCGTACAAGAGAAACCCATTCTTTGTTTCATGGTCCACGTTTCTTTCAAAGGTCAAACAAATAGATGGAAGACATTTTTTTGTTTACAGTTTAAATAAAGTGTGAACTTTGTGGAACGAATGGTGAGATGATGTCTCAATCGCTGACATAATATCTAACTAGACAGTGACCATGGTTGTAAGAACGGGCTACTCAGTTCGCAGTATTATCTGATGCATCAGCATGAACTGACTAAATAGACAAGGAATATTTCACTTCTCAAGAGATTTGTTAAACTGTGTTCTGTGAACTGTCGAGGACTCTACAAAGGATATTTGTGATACAGGCGGCATTCATATAGTCAGAAAGTTGTTGATGCTCTCAGCGTAGAAACTCCAAACAGAGCAAAACAGCAGAGAAAACCCCAGACAAGGCAAAAAAGGAAACTACTCCATTCGCTCAAAAACAAACCCAAACACCCTCTCCCCCGAAAAAGACAACCTCCACCCCTTAAAAAGCCTCCCCCACCACAACCCCCCAACCCCAGAACAACCCCCACCCCGGAAAAAAACCAAGAAAAAACAAAACCTTTCATTCCATCCTCAATTCCTCTCGCCGTCCACCATGGACGTGGCCAAAGTCGCCAAGGACTACTTCCTGAGTTCTCAGAGCAGTCTGCTTATTCCCAACAGGGAGTACGGGAGCCGAAAGCTGATTCACGTGGGCATCACGCGCTCATCCAGCCTCGGTGGCATCAAGCCTGACGACTCACTCTCAGCCGACGACAGCCCAGAGTTCGCTGCGCAGCAAGGAGGAGGAGGAGGAGGAGGAGTAGGAGGAGGAGCAGGTGTTGTGAGTCCGACCCGACCCTCTGGCCTCAAGGGACTGCTCGTTGGGGGCGCGGAGCAAGCCAGGAACCTCAGTCTCAAGCTGAAGAATCAGGCCATGAGATCAGGTGAGGGGCAACTTTTCTTCATCGTAATATTCGTCGTGTTGTTGTTGTCGTTGTTGTTGTTGCTGCTGCTGCTGCTGCTGCTGCTGCTGTTTCTGCTGTTTCTGTTGTTGTTGTTGTTGTTGTTGTTGTTGTTGTTGTTGTTGTGTTGTTGTTGTTGTTGTTGTTGTTGTTGTTGTTGTTGTTGTTGTTGTTGTTGTTGTTGATGATGATGATATTATTGTTGATGTGCATGGTTGGAATGCGCTACTGGTATGTCCTGCCTATTTCTATCCTTTCCTTCTGTTTTGTCTGTCTGTTTGTGCGTCCGTCTGTCTGACTGTCATACTCTTTTCGAGCATTATAATAATAATAATATGGCTGTTATAGTGTCGATATGTGTCTCTTTGCTCAGACTAACGAGCAAACTACACACAAATATTATTATGTTGTTGATTGTATTACACGTCTCCTACATTTGTCGAAAATAAAATTCTAATTAAGTTGGAGAATATCAGTTAATCAAATCCGGCTCAAATAAAGCCGGAGGAATAGAAAAAGAGACTCGGTCGCCATGTCGGTTCGAACTTGATCATGTACCCCAGATGTGCTAGTAAGCGATCACCAAACCCGATTCATCGACTTGCAGAATTATTAACTCCTTCACTGCCTGGCCCGAGACTGTCTTAAGCTCTTTGAATGAACTATGAAGCAGGCCATGGAGAAGGAGAAGGATTTCCCAAACCTCCTCCCACTTACACACATAGATCTAATTAAAACAAGCCAAAACAAAACAAAGCCAAGCAGTACAAAGCTAAAACAAAAGAAAGACCATCAACTATTAAAACAAGAAAAGCAATTGACTTTTTATTGTGCCATTTAATTGATGTTTTCAAGAAGCAGGAATCGCCCAGTCCTGCTCCTTTACCTAAGTCATTGGCTTGGCAGAATGATGATATTATTAGTTGTCTCGATGGAGGCGTAAAACGCCTTCATTAAAAACAAAAACAAACAACAAAACAACAACAACATCAAACAACAACAACAACAACAACAACAACAACAACAACAACAACAACAACAACAACAATTACAACAACTATAACAGAGAACACACACATGTTTGACAATGTTCCTCGTATTGCTGTTCCAGAGTCCCTCTACACAAAGTCCCTGGACTCTGACTTCGATTTCCAAACGAGATGTAAACTCTTTATTTGATTTTCTTTCACTCACCCTGACTTAAATCCACATGGTCCGCTTTTATGTTTTGTTTGTTTTATTTGTTTAACTGTGTATGCCTATTGATCTAAGATAACAAAAGGAGCTACAATCGAACTGCTTGAATTATTTAGAATAACCCCGACTTCGTCGCTCTAAAGCAGTGCTTGTCAATCCTTTTATAACTGGCGCCCAATTTTAACAATTTTGATAGGCTAACATTTTCAAACCGCCCATTCCCCCCTCCCCCCTCCCCCCTTTACATATAAAGACGACACTGTCTTGGGCGGTCACTGATTATTATGAGGAGAAAGTGGCCTTCTTAGACAGGTGACTGTCTTACAGTGCCATATTATGTATAGAGTTTTTAAAACGCAAGGGGGAAATTTTAAGTGGCTTTATGTACAGGTGATTGTCTTATACGGGTAGCCGTTGGAGCAATTTGTTTACTCTGTATTTTCGAGCAGAGCATAATTATGTGAGGCAGCGTGGTGGAATCAGGCTCTCGTCAAAATAATCAAAATGAAGAAACCTGCATTTTTCCACAGGTTTGTGAATTTTCATCAAATTTTTGTTTTTTGGCTCAACACCTTTCATTCCCAAATGAAGAACCCATTTCTGTGTGGATTTTTCTGAAAAGCGTTAATTAAAGGCACACAAAAAATGTAAATTTTCAGTTACCAAGGACTTTTAAGCTAAAGAAATAACTTATCTGTCGAGGCCGTTTTCTCACTAATATTGCCTCGGAAAAGAGATGATCCCCACCTCCTTCATTCACAAATACCTCGACTTGCATTTAAGATAAATGGATATTTTTTCCGTGCTAATAAAGACAATCCATTGAACAAGATTTAAAATGTTAGCAACAACTGGACATGCCCATAAATTGACGAGAGCCTGATTCCACCACGCTGCCTTACATATTATTAAGCTAACACACTTGTCACTTCCTGGATATCCCCCCCCCCCAACCGCCCACCAAAATTACCAAAATAGTCCGTTAGTGGGCCATGTGGCCCAGGTTGGCAGGCACTGCAATACTGCAGTACTCTGACAGAATGCCCTTTTCTTATTCACTGCAATTTGGAGAAATCAGCGATTTTCGGTTTTCTTGTAATGTCAGTTGAGCACAGGGAATGACATTTCTCTTCAGGGTGCGAGATCAACCGTTGATGTACTGTGCTAAATAGTTGAAATATTACGTATAAAAAAGAAAAACGAAAAAAGCTGATTTCTCGCAACTGCTGTGAATAAGAAAAAGGCGTTTTGTCAACGGACGGCAGTGTAAACAAACAGCACACATGACTCATCGGCTGCACGACTAACACACCGCACTCCGACTCATCCCTTTTGTTGTCGGACCACTTCCTTCCTTAACAATTTTTATTTGTGGGTCAGCGCGATGGAACTGGGCGCTCGTCAAATACATTCTAGGGAACGGAAAATAAATCAGTATCTCCCCCCCCCCCCCGACTGTTTGGTGATATATCTTCTCCATTTTATATTCTATCGAACCCCCCCCCCCCTTTTTTTTCTTGTAGGGTGAATTTTGCTTCTTAACAAAATGTTGTTTAAAGCCAGAAATAGTTTAGTTTGTGAGTACTTAGCTTTAGAAGTCACCAAACTTTTGGCGGTCATTTTCTCGCTTATTTCACATGTAACACTGGGTAATATCAGCCTTCTTTAAATGCACACAATATTACGAGCGAACGACTTCTATTCTAGACAGAGCAATATTTTTATTGTGCCCAGTTCATGAAAAAAAGCAAGCTTCAGTTTGATAACAACAACGGTAAATGGCCAACAATTGACGAGCGCCTGATTTCACCACGCTACGACATTTTTTTTTTAGAGAGGCAGATGAGGGTGTTACTGCTAACTCATACTTCTGTTTCTTTCTCCCCCTTTCCCGGTACTTTCTATATGTGTATCTTGTCTTTAACTGCAGAAAATTATCACAATTATTAATTACATGTATGTTTTAGTTTAGTTTTAGTAGAGGTTTTACGGTGCTCGCAACTAATTACATATGAGCGCCAGAAGATTAGACGTGTTACAAGAGAGTAACAAACATAAAAAAAAGAAGGGGAGATAAAGACGATAGATGTTTGATAGGAAAGAAGAAGCAAACCACACCGGAGCAACCGCCAACCACTCACACATGTATATTTATCTTTGTTGGTCAAACAAACTGACAAGCATGGTTAAAGCAGTCCGCCTCCTAAATGCTCTGAATTATGTCGATTGAGATGTAAAACTTTTACAATGATAGTTATTTAAAATCAGTCGTCAGTCCAGATGCATTTTTGGAATATCCATTTAGTAATAAGGACACAATCTTTCTTCGGCGATAATTTCAATGTCTCTTGGATGAGTAATTGATTTGTAATTGATTTCAAAGTTGGCCGGCTCGTTGAAGTTCGAATTTTAGCTTTAGCAGAATAAGACAGCACTCCTCCTGCCCTTCCACACATACACATACACACATCCTCCCTTTAATCCTTGACCTTTCCTCTCACCCTTGAGCCTTTGCGGGTTTTGAAGTAGCTTCGATTATAATTTCTAGTGGGTCGTTGTCCTCGGCAAAAGACAAACAAGGGCATTTGTGCATGTGGCACGTCGCGTTGGAATCAGGCGCTCGTTAATGTTTGGGCATGTGGAGTTACATGTGCCATCTTAAAGCTAGTTCATTTGTCTTTCTTTTGATGAAAGAAATACTCATTGAAGGAGGTGGGGGTTGTCTGGTGTCAGAGGTAAAATTAGTGAGAAAATGATCGTCAAAGCTAAGATACTTCCAAAGCTTGAGTGTCCTTGAAAAGTGCAAAGCATTTTTTTCCTGTCCTTTTGATTAACGGTTTTTTCCAGTAAAATCCACTCATAACTGTTTTTATATTATTCTTTTCGTCAATGCCAAACTGTAATAAAAAACAAATAACTTTATTCTAGAACGTAATTTTCGTTATTGCTGCTGTAAACAGTCGTTTTAAATTCAAAATGACTAAGGTCAAGTGGGTGGTTGGCGGGTGCTCTGATTTGGTTTGCTTCTTCTTTCCTATCAAACATCTATCGTCTTTATCTCCCTTCCTTCTTTTTTGTGTTTGTTACTCTCTTGTAACACCTCTAATCTTCGGCACTTACATGACATTATTGTGTTGCGAGTGCCGTAAAACACTTACTAAAACAAACAAATAAAACAAATAAAACTAAGGTCAATTTTTGGGTCTGTCGTTACACTTTCAGTAATGGATGTAATATAATAATATGTTTTTTCGTCAGTGTCAAGCTGTAGTAAACAACAAATAACTTTTTTTCTAGAACTACATCTTTGTCTCAGCTGCTGGTAAAAGTATTTCTTTTAGTCTTTTAGTCCCTTTCAATTATGTCTATTTTTGGGTCGGTCGTTACACTTTCAGTAATGGATGTAATGTATATTTTTCCCGTCAGTGCCAAGCTGTAGTAAACAACTAATAACTTTATTTTAGAATTTAATTTTCATCTTTGCAGCTGTAAATATGCTGTCCTTTTATATTCCAATTCATTTATGTCTATTGTTGGGTCGGTCGTTACACTTTCAGCTATGGATGTAATGCATATTTTTTCGTCTGTGTCAAGATATAGTAAACAACAACTCTTTTCTTAGTAGCTGGAAACTATCACTTATGTCGATTTTTTTGGTCGGTGGTTACACTTTCAGTAGTGGATGTAATGTATATATATATATTTTGTCTTTTCCAAGCTGTAGTAAGTAGAACTTACGTTTCGTCTCAGCTGCTGGAAAAAGCCTTTTTTTTGTAGTCCAACAC